TGACCAAAAAGCACCAATGAACGCCACAGTAAATCATTCCTACCTGTGGCCATCTCTCCTCCTTCTGATGAAATGTAAACACTACAATAGTTACATCCTTTTGGCACACACTCTTTCTTACTCTGTAATGTTTCTGTCAATTTGTTAATATTTATTTATAATCACATATGTCAACCCTGAATATTTATTACTTGGTGACTTGTATTGTATATATTATGCTATTTCTCATATCTTAACATACCGTATTGATAAATAGTCTAGTTTGTTTTTGTTAATGCTACTGTACTGACACAACTGTAACCCATATAATTTCCCTAGGGATTAATAAAGTATTCTGATTCTGATCAAATCAGGAATGGCTCTCATATACAGTAAAACACCTTCAGTCCCTCAGTTTTGAGTGCGACCGACATGAATGAATTTATTAATTTATTAGTTATTGATTCCTGTTTTGCCAGTTTTATCCTTGAAGACTTAAACGATTAAAAAAGACTTTGCCTTCAGATGCGGTGAGCTGTGTGTGTGTTCTTTAGCCAGATGCCAACAGATGTTTCTGAGACTGATCTGAAGAGAAAGCAGCAGGAGGAGGAGGCAGACGGAGGGGGAGGAGCAGAAAGCAGAGAAGCACGCGCAGACGCACGGGCACGGACCTCCGGTGGATCACGGAGCCTCCACCGCCTCTGCGCAGCTGCAGCCGGTATCAGAAGCAGTACGGTCGGCCTAACATCGGAACTATGGCCGACGATGGAGCTCCATCCACGGCCTGCACAGGCTCCAGCCTTCTGCAGCCGCTCAGCGAGCTCACCGACCTGCCGCTGGACCAGGTAAGAGCCGCCGGACCTCGGCGGCCGCCGCTCCGGAGGTCCGACACGGGGGTACAAAGAGAGGCGAGGACGGGGAAGGGAGGAGGGCTTTGTCCGTAAAAGTAAAGGGCGGAGGCCTCGTGCAGACTCCTGCAGCTGTGATGGAGGAGAGGCTTCATGCTGCTCATTCACGTAAGGAGGAGGAGGAAGGGGATGTAGCTGTGCGGAATGTTCCTATTGTGATGATGATGAAGGGGGAAGGCATGTCGGTAGTGGTGGGGAAAGGGGAGGGGGGGGGTGATCTCTCACCCGATGCTCCTGAGGCTCCACCTTTCCTCTTAGGTTTTGTCTGCGCTGGGGTCAGGTGTGGAGCTTCTCTGATGCAGGTGTGGCTCAGGTGATAACCAGGCACAGCCATGACCTCCACGTTAGCTCCTGATTGGTCATTCCTCAGTCCAGAGCTCAGAGGGGGTGGAGCAGCTACTCATTCAGCAGATGGTAGATCAGAGTGTGGTTGTGTGGACCTTCACCAGGTGATCCTGGTGAGCTGCTGCACACACCTACCCTCTGACTGGCTGACAGCCGGGCCTCTGGAGCCGGTTCAGGTGACCAGCTGCCTCAGTTTACTAGTTTTACAGGGAAGTACTGATGATACCAGTATCTCCTGTGGGCTGATGTCATTGTGTGTGAGTCTTCAGAGAAAAATCCTGTTTCTACACCACACAGCAAGTTTCACGCCTCTGAGTGGAGGCTCTGGTGTCACTTCCCTCCAAGGCAGGAAGTGGGCACTGCCAGAGGTGCTCCCAGAAGGAGGCCGGGGGGTGCGACCCTCACCAAGGTCGCTCCTTCTCAAACAGCACATTTCATCTTCTGCTCGACCGACTCTGATTTTCATAAATATTTATGGTCCATAGTGTGAACACACGGCCGCTGTAACCTTTAAACAGTTTGTAGATACTCTAACAGTACAACAGAGAGTATTACAGAGAACTGTTTGAAAACTGCTGCATCAGCAAACTTTCAGGCCTTTTTCACACATTCAAACATGAAAATCTCAAACCTGTAAAAGATCAAAGCCAGAGATCTCGCTGCTCCTTATTCCCATCGTCCTGACTCAGATGTGTACTTTGGGACAGGCACAGTAAAACCTCCCTGAGTATCTTTTAGGTAGTTTCAAGGCGTCTTGTAACGTCTTATATTTCAGGACACTCTGATAAAAACTTCACACTGTAAGAAAATACCTCGTGACAGTGACTCAGTGATGAGTACTTCGACTTCACAGTGTTGCAAAAAAACACAAGAGAACTTTGAAAGTCAAATTCTGAGTTTTGAAGTACAAAGAGACACAAAGTACTGCAGGTGGTGATATCATTGCTCTGTTTACAAACACTCACAATACCACACACAATACTACAAAAACTGACAGTGCTATTGATACTCTGACATTACTACAGATATTAGTCAGATAGTACTCTGATGTTAGTTTCTTAGTATTCTGGTATTAGTCTGTAGTAGACGGTGACTGGACAATAACATGGCTGTTACTGTGCTAATGATGATGAAGATCCTCCTCCTCGCCTTCTTGCAGGAGGAGCTGCTTGGAGAAAAGGGCAGCCATTTTGTGCTTGTGTTGGTTCTGAAAGAGTCATGTGACACCTCTCTCACACCCAGGAGGGGGCGGTGGCGCTCAGGTTTGGTCCCCTCAGCAGGAGGAAGGCAGGATTAGCCAATGAGCATGCAGCACCCCTCTGTGAAGGTGTTAGAGAAGGTGAGGGGTCAGCCTGAGGGAGGCGGAGCAGTCTAACGGTGGGCGGGTCTGCCCTCTCTCACCTGGATGTACTGAAGCACCAATGAGGTGCTGTCTGTTTGCTTCACCTGCAGGTGAACTTCGTAGCGTGCCAGCTCTGCGCTCTGATCTCCGCCTTCTGGTTTCGTCTCTTCCTCCATCCCAGTAAGACCAGTCCCATCATCCGGCACGTGGTGGCCACGCTGCTGGGACTCTATTTTGCCATGTTCTGCTTCGGCTGGTAAGACCAACTACGACTCAGGATCAGTAAAACTGAGCTCTCCAAAGTCTGACTTATCCTAAAATTGAACCAATCAGTGCTCTGATAGAGGTCACACGTGCATCGCTTATCTCACCTGTAATGGAAAAATTACACAATAATGATTGTCAGGAGCAGAAACAACTTTTAGCTCCTCCCCCTTTAAGAAAGCTTTCTTCTGATTCGGTCTGTGTGTCAGATGACCCTAAATCAAACTCTCTAGGACATCATCCAGATCCCAGAGGGAAAAATGCTGTGACTGACTGAGTGTTGAGGGCAGCCTGAGCGTTGGCTCACAGAGATTACTGTTTGTACACCAAGCTCATTATGTTTAATGTGAGCATCCATCACAGGAGCGGCAGACAAATCACGTGTTCTGGTCAGCTGGTGTCTGGAGATGATGCTCTGTGTTCTCCTTGTTTTACAGGTATGCTCTCCACTTCCTGGTTCAGAGCGGACTCACCTACGGCATCATGATCCTCACCGGAGTCGAACACATGCACAAGTGAGCGTCACACACGACATGCATTAAAACGCTGCTAACAAGCCATTAACAAGCTCAGGGTTAATGAGGAAACTTTTTATCACCTTTGATGTCAGGAGAGCAGCTCACAGTCGGACCTCTGTTATTTCCAGCTCTGTGAACATTAGGTCATGAAGGTTCTGATGTTGTAAAAGTAACAATGTGCTCCTTTCAGCCAAACAAACATGACTGCACCAGGTGTTCTGTCCTCAAAAGGATGCAAACTTCAGACTGGTGAAGGTCTTAAACCCGTGGAGCTTCACATGAGCTACAGCCAGAAACCTGAGTGAGCCAGATCATCACAGAGGTCCTCAGACCTCAGTGAGGCCGTCAGGACCGCCGACCCCAAGTTGAATAACAGCCTGTTCTCTGTGTTTTTCCAGGTACTGCCTAGTGGTGGCGCTCACATACCTGAGTCTGTGTCAGATCACTCGAGTGTACGTCTTTGACTACGGCATGTACACCGCCGATTTCACAGGGTAACGCCTCCGCTCTGTGGCCCATTCACTCCTAAACGCCTCTCCGTGTCCAGGCTCTAATCTCTGCCTCTGCCCTCTCTCCAGCCCCATGATGGTCATCACTCAGAAGATCACCAGTCTGGCATTTGAGATCCATGACGGTGAGCTGCACTCTCAGACAGGCTGTTTTCCGTAAATCCTGCAGGTTTTACTGTCCACTCTGTGTTTCTGACAGGAATGGCTCGGAAGGAGGAACATCTGACGGCGGGACAGAAGATTCTGGCAATAAGGTTTGTTCATGGTAGAAACATTATTTACTGGAACAGAAATCACCGTGTTTAGGCAGGAGGGTGGAGCTTACAACAAAATCCATGCCTCCATGGTAGACACTTGTCAATCAAAGGTATCTCCGCCCTAATATTTCTCCCTAAAAGTAATGCAACTTCCTGCTGTACTTCTGTTCATGCAAAACAGGTTTAGTATGAAAAAATAGCTTCACCTAAACTAAAAACAAAAAATACTCGGCTGAGTCACTTTTACTGGATCAGTCCTTCAAAACTCATGACATAGCGGAACCCTTTGAATAGTCTTCTTCCTGCTCCTAGTAGATCTTTGCATGAACAATCCTCATTCTGTGGCCTTCATTTTTCATCACGTTATCGGCAGTGTTGGAGTTCAAAATTGTTGATTCTGCTCGTCTGGACGTTTCGTCACTCATCCAGGTGACTTCTTCAGTCTCAGCTGACTGCATGTTTCCTCAACCTTGTGTAAATACAAGTGTATTTACTTGTATTTACCTTGTGTATTTACTTGTGTAAATACACAATAACTGAAATTAGCCACTAAATGAACAATCAGCTGTGAGGTCAGTTCCTTGATCATTAATCAATCAATGGTAGGCAGCTCTGAACAGCACATCCAGAACACCTTGGATTTTATTGAGAAGGTGAGAGATGTCATTATGGAGGCAGATGAAACAATGGTCTCATACAATGTTACATCTCTCTTCACTTGTGTTCCAGTCACTGAAGCGTTGGAGGTAGTTCGTAAGACATTACAGGATGACCCCAACCTTAGCAACAGGACCACTCTCAGCATTGACCAAGTGTGTTTACTTTTGGAACTGTGTCTTAATTCCACCTATTTCGCATACAAGGGTCAGTACTACAGTCAGAAACATGGGTGTGCCATGATTTCCCCAGTTTCACCCACTGTGGCCAACGTGTACATGGAAGAAGTGGAAATGAGGGCTCTTTTATCCTACTATGGAACATCACCAAGTCATTGGTTCAGGTATGTGGATGAAACCTGGGTGAAAATCAAATCTCAGCACGGGACGTACCACAATTCATGGATCACATTAACTCGATGGACCGACCAACACATCAAATTCACAAGGGAGGTAGGGCTGCCATGATTAGTCGACTAGTCACGATTACGTCGACTATCAAAATCGTTGCCAAGTAATTTAATAGTCGACGCATCAATTTAGGCTGGCAGTGAATGAGTTAAACCCATTGACTCATTCACTGCCATTGACGGCTATAGACGTCAATGGCAGTGAATGAGTTAAGATCCTGCAAGACACAGGAATAAGTAGTAGGATTTAAGAGTGTAATAACGGACTGAAACAGAAGATGGCAGCAATGCATCTACAAGGATGCCAGCTGCCGTTAAACGCCAAAGAAGAAGAAGAAGAAGAAGCAGTCTCCGGTATCATAGCTGTGTCCAGATTCAGGGACTGCATATCTTCGGAAGCCACTTTTGTAGGCCGATTACGTGACAGCGACGCAACGAAGGCTGTCACAATTTGAAGACTCCTCCAAATGCGACCTTAAGCACTTTGGCAAAATTACGTTCATCTGTTTTATAATGTCTAATAAGCCTCATAATAAGCACAGTCACTACATGACTGAAACACAAGCTTAATCTCTCTATCAATAAAAATAGGATACACGTATGCTTGAATAAAAACAAACAGGTGATATAGAACACTTTTATTTTTATTTTAGCATACACTCAAAAATTACAATAGACAGCTGCACTTTTGTAGGCCGAGTACGTAAAGGTGACGCGACAAAGGCTGTCCCAATTCAAAGACTCCTCCAAATGCGGTTGACAAATGCGTCCTGCTTTTCCCCAGATTTGAAGGATGGGTCAGGTGTATCCTTCGTGGCCCAACCTATCTCAGAATTCACAGTGTGGCCCAGCCAATTTCCAGTTTCCAACAATGGTGGCAGCTACTTAGTTTTAATATCACTCTTATTGCTCCTTCTGGGTCACAAAATAAACTTTTAAGATCAAGTCTGGACTTAAAGAAGTCCAGACGCTTTTCTTTGCAAGCTCCTTTGACTACGATGACCTGGATGACTGATTAGAGGATTAGAGGATCATCAGGGGGTCCTTTTGTCCCTCTGTGGGGGGATACTCCCACTAGGTTTATATCTGGGACTCTCCACCATTTGACCTTAGAACTGAAGAAGCTTCTCGGATGAGAGGTGAAATGTCTTCAAGTAACTTAAAGAAGTCCAGATGCTTTTCTTTGCAAGCTCCTTTGACGACAATTTGCATATTAATGATCATAAACCAACCTCACAGCAAATTGTTCAATCAGTGGGCTGGTTTCAATTATTGCGCAAATCTACTGTTTATAAGATTAGGGAAACCTGCAGTCAACTGAGATTGAAGAAGTCGCTTGGATAAATGACGAAATGTTTCCCCCACTAAAAACGTTACATCCAGATGAACAGAATCACCTTTTGGGATTTACCTACCTGGGTGATTTAGCATGCATCAAGACAGTGTTAGAGTTGTCACTCAAAAAAGTAATCTATTGCACATTACTTGTTACTTATATTAAAAGTAGTGTTGTATGTTACTTAATTACTCACTGAAGAAAGTAATTTCTTACACAACCTGTTAAAGTGAAGTAAAACATACCTCCATGTCACTCCAACCTGAAGCACAGTCTGATAATTATCAATGAACAGTGTACACCTGAAGCTACAGTCGCACACTGACACAGATCTCTGTGCTAATGAGGACACACACACTCTTGAAGTTTGAATAAAAGCAAAGTTAAAATGAGCCAAACAGACTTCAGAGCAGTCGTCATGGTGATTCTGCTTTAGAAACATGAACAGGTAGAACTGCCTTTGTTAACCTATTGAAGTTCAGGGTCTGGCTGCTAGACTGGGGTCTGCATATACTCCACTCTTTCATCACTCTTAAGTTCTTGGCTAGCTTAGCATTAGCATGCTGTCTGTGCAGATGTTAGCTAAATATCAGACATGATAAATGGATATGTACTTTTAGAGAGCTTTTCTAACTGAGGTTTTTACTACAAGTCTCACTATGCCAATCACATTAGCTCTTTGTTCTGTGTTCTGGTTCTCCTTTACTGTCTCCCCTTCATTGGCTCCATTAAAAATCCAGAATTTAAATCCTGCTCCTCACATTCAAGGTCTTGAATAATCAGGCCCCATCTTATCTTAACGACCTTATAGTATCATATCGTTAGAGCACTTCGCTCTCACACTGCAGGCTTACTTGTTGTTCCTAGAGTATTTAAAAGTAGAATGGGAGGCAGAGCCTTCAGTTTTCAGGCCCCTCTTCTGTGGAACCAGCTTCCAGTTTGGATTTAGGAGACAGACAATATCTCTACTTTTAGGATTAGCCTTCAAACTTTCCTTTTTGCTAAAGCATATAGTTCGGGCTGGATCAGGTGACCCTGAATCCTCCCTTGGTTATGCTGCAATAGGTGAAGGTAGCTGGGGAATTCCCATGATGCACTGGGTGTTTCTTCTTAACTCACGTCACTCATGTGTTCGTACACCTCTCGCATTAAATCATTGGTTCAATAAAAAGAGATTAGTACAAGAAACTGAACAATATTTATTGACATACAGAATTTAATGAAAACATTTTGCAAGTACTCTGATGGCCCACCACAGCAGAACAGAATCCCAGCAGTGATAGAAATTAGGGCGTGTGAAAACAGATCTTTCATATACAACTTAAGGTTCATTTATTATTAATCTCTGGCTCTCTTCCACAGTGTGTCTTTTGTCCTGTCTTCCTCCCCTCACCCAAACCAGTCACAGCAGATGGCCGCCCCTCCCTGAGCCTGGTTCTGCTGGAGGTTTCTTCCTGTTAAAATTTAGTTTTTCCTTCCCACTGTCACCAGTGCTTTCTCATCGGGGCTCATGTGATTGTTGGGGTTTTCTCTGTTTTCTTTGTATTCTTGTAGGGTCTAAGTTACTGTAAAAAGCACCTTGAGGCAACTGTAGTTGTAATTTGGCGTTGTATAGATAAAACTGAATTGAAAATTGAATAGTTCTCCATGCCTTCTTTCGGAGCACGGCTGTTTCCATAGCATACAACATTCACACGAGTTGCCAATAGAAAGCATTGTGGTGAAATGGTCTTAACCTCTATTTATTTAGGAGAATGCCCAGTCTGCTGGAGTACTTCAGCTACAACTGTAACTTCATGGGGATCCTGGCTGGCCCCACCTGCTCCTACAACGACTACATCGGCTTCATCGAGGGAGCCCCTCGACGCTGCAGAGACTACAAGGATGAAAGGAAGTCCAGCAGCAAGCTGAGGCACAGTGAGCCCTCCCCAAACGTAGGTCGCATGACTAAGGCATACCTGTATTTACAGTATGAGCAGTTGCCCCCGCTTGACATTAAACAGAAAGCAGGTTTAAGACATTTACCGTTGAGACGTTTAAACTGAGGAGCGTAATCCATTTCTTCTTTTGTTCATGATTGCTGACTGAATTTAAGACATATTGAACCTGAATGAATACTATGTTTCTCCACAGATGGAGGTCGTACGTAAGGTCACCACCTCCTTCTTCTGCCTGCTGGTGTTTCTGTCAGTGTGTAAGGTTTTCCCAGTGGAGCGAAACATCGACGACAACTTCATTGCCAACACACCTTTCTATGCTCAAGTGGTTTACCTGTACCTGTCCATGCTGACTACCAGACCCAAGTACTACTTCGTCTGGACGCTTGGTGGGTGGCTGAAATCTGCTTTGTGCAAATAAACCTTCATGTGCTGCTGTAGAAAAATTGGATTAAAATCAAAATCTAACCGATCATTTGTGCTGAAATGAAAATGCTGGGTTCACTGTTAGCACAAACACACTGTTCATACCTAAATTTCTGACCAGTCACATCTGTGCTACAGCTGACGCCATCAACAACGCCGCCGGTTTTGGCTTCAATGGTTACGACAGTGACGGCTCTGCTCGCTGGGACCTCATCTCCAATCTGAGGATCCTGAAGATTGAGGTCAGGACCATCACAGACCTGGACAAGTTTACGAGTAGGGATGGGTATCGTTTAGGTTTTATCCGATATCGGTGCCAAACCGGTACTTTTGAAACGGTGCCGGTGCTTAAACGGTGCTCAAACCGGTGCTCAAAGAATGGAGAACACAAAATTGGTCCAAAAACCTCTCATGTTCAGCTGTTTTTTTGTAAAAAGATAACAATGTTAGCCTTTTTTATGGCATCACTCTTGGCTGGAAGCAGTGCTTAATCAATGGAAAAAACACAAACTTTGTTCAAAAACCTCTCATGTTTAGCTGTTTTCCACTTTTTCTTTGGTCATTTTAGCCTTTTTTGCCAGGGTGAAGGGAGTATCTGCCATCAAACAAGAAGACAGCCGCATGTAGCTATGATGATGTTTGCCAGTTCACCTTACATGCATTAATTTGATAACGCTGTTAGCCTACTCAAATTACACACGGACAACATTAAGCTACTCACGCAGAGAAGAACGGCTGCTGCTGCATCATCATCGTCATCATTTCTGCTACACTGGCAGGGCTAGGGGCCAGGACTCTCCTCTTCGGGTTTTTGGGGGATGTTGCTAACTCTCCGATAACTGGCAACCCACCCGACGTGCACGGCGTGAGGTCTCGCAGCAAGCTATCAAATACGGCGCATTTCCCGGCTTTTAAAAAAAACGCTATGCGTCGCCAAGTGTTTCATCGGATTCGAGGTGTTACCTCCTTTGACAGTATCACAGTATCAGTTTAAAGCACTTGTTGCAGGCTGCTGAGTTTGCATATTTTGCTGTGAAGTACAGCCAGACTTGACCGCTTCGCCTTGGGCATTTTTAATCTGTAGCTCTGCTCTAAAAGAACGTACGTACCTGGCCCCGCCTACTATCCTCGGAAACGTAAAATGATTGGCTAGAATCTAAAGTGTATCACAGCTCAGGAAAAAAAAGCACCGAAATAAAGCACCGAAATAAAGCACCGAAATGTGCGCTGCTTTTCGGTCTGGTTACTACCGTTTATGTCAGAACCGGTGCCCATCCCTATTTACGAGTCACTAAAATGGTTTGATAACATCAGTCTAATGGATCTCTGTCTGCTTCCAGTTTGCCACCAGCTTCAAAGTTTTCCTGGACAACTGGAACATTCAGACAGCACACTGGCTCAAAAGGTCACACTCAGTTACCTGATCTGGAATCTGTACCTGGCATGTGTAAAAATGACTGTTTGTGACCTCTGACCCCTTATTTCTGATTGACAGGGTGTGTTATGAGCGATGTCCCTACCATCCGACAGCAGCCACCTTCATCCTGTCAGCCATGTGGCACGGAGCCTATCCAGGATATTACCTCACCTTCCTCACAGGGATCGTCATCACGCTGGCAGCCAGAGCGGTGAGCCGCTGTTAGCTATTAGCCGCTAGCTGTTAGCCATTATCATTTAGCAGTTAGCTGTTATCTGTTAACTGATGTTGCTGCTAAGCCTTTGAAATGAGACCTGTGTCCATTTTAGCAGTCATCCATGTTAACTTCTCATCCTCAGGTCAGACACAACGTTCGACCATACTTCCTGCACTCCTCCGTACACAAATTGGTCTATGATGTCATCACGTGGGCAGCCACTCAGATTGCCATCTGCTACACAGTGATACCTTTTGTCTTGCTGTCTGTGGGTCCATCCATGAAGTTCTACAGGTCAGTAAGTCAGAAAGGGTTGACCAAAGTTTAATCAAGATTCAATCCAGGTTTAATGCATGTTTAACACAGCTTTAACCCAGGTTTAAATCAGGTTTTACCAAGGTTTAATATAAGTTATTCCAGGTTTAACCCAGATATATTTCAGGTTTACTGCTGGTGCAGCCCAGGTTTAAACCTTGTTTAACCCAGGTTTAATTCATGTGTAACTTTGACTGCTCATAGCAGCATTTCTGAATTTTCATCTTCTCTGCAGTTCCTGGTACTTTAGCCTCCACATCGGCTGCATTCTGGTCGCATTCGTGCTGCCCGTCAAACGGAGGAATCTCCCTCTCAAAGACCAGCAGAAGAGCCCAGTGCAGGAATCGTTTCAGCGCCACCTAGAGGCTACAGACAGGACCTGCAGCCAGAAGGCGAAAACCACATGAGACAGAGGACAGAGAGCGATGATGTGACATCATGCATTACATGGACGTGTACAGAAAGTGGGCAGACGGAGCTTCCTGCTGGCTGGGTACAGAAACATGATGACGATTACTTGGAGTCATAGGGGGGGGGGGTATGGAAACAGGCCCCGTGTTGTCTTCAAAAGGATTCGTGACTGCTCAGATTCAGACAGATGTGTGGTGACGGAGGATTCATGTGTATAAATACATACAGTGTAAGTTGACATGGAGCTGCTGTGTGGGAAGCTGAGCTGCCCCAAACTCTCATGATCACCTGTGTAGTGTTTCTTTGTGGTTAAACACCTGCTGACTGTTCATCTGCAAGGAAGAAGAACAAAGGAAGGACGGGAAGAGTGGCTGGATGAGTGAAGCATGCACAAATGGAAGTCAGGCAGGTTAAACCACAGCATGACAGTGTTCACAGGGGCCGATAAAGGTCCACTCAGCAGTCTTACCCGTTTGGGTTTTTGCAGGTGTTACCTGGAGAGGGTGGCATCACGTTTACATTAGCAGATGTCTGAATCAGGTGATTTATGTCATTTCATTCCAAGCAGTCAGGTGTTTGCAGATTTAGCTCGAAGATTAAATGAACTGAAAGATCAGTAAGGGTCATGTGATCATCTTTCACGTTAAAGGAGAACCATTGAGCTAACCTGCAGCTCTACTCAGCTGTATTACCCTCCTATGATTCAAAAATAATAAAATTTAAAAAAAACAACTTTACTTTATTTAACTCTGGCTTCTCAGCTCAATAAACTCTTTTAGCTCCTCTCTCTTTAAAGTCATCCTTCTTTAAAATCCCACTTCCTTCTGATTGGCCAGCTTCTGAAAACCCATTGAGGGGCAGCACTCTGTACCTGTGAGCTGTGCTGCCCACAGGAGATGACCACATAAAGAAATCTAATGTAATGATAAAAATATAGAACAGCGTTGAAGCTGAGTGCTAAGAGCAGGCTTGAGACTAGATTACTTTACGTTGGGTTACTTTAGATTACTCTGGATTACGTTCACATGCTAGTGTTATTACTTTGACCTTGGGCCATGTTTCGTATGAACACATGCTAATATTATGTAAGAAAATAAAGAAAGTGCTTCGGGTTGGGTTCATCGTGGTTCTGTAGTCTGGTCTTCGGATCTAGGAGGACGTTCCGACAGGAAGTGCTATGCGTTTACTGCTGTGTGTTTTTGTAAACTGAGGAAAACACATTTCTGTTTCCTGTTGCCATATTTGTATCGTCAGTGTTGTTCCTGGTGGAGATGTTCTGGGACACAGACACCTCTCTGTGGGCTTCATGGTTTTGTAAATGTGAAATAAAGCTGATTTTTGACACCTGACCAGGTGAACATGTGTGATTGTTGCTGGGATGGGTGGAAGTTTGAGTCTGCACTTTAAACTTTGGCAGGCTGATAGGAATCAAACTAGAGAACAACTCTGTTAATAATTCCTCAAATATCAGGTCATAAAGTCGCTGGGTGATGTTTGTGGTTCAGAGATTTCACCAGCACAGCATTAAACCCACAAACATGCACGCACAAACACTTTATTTAAAGCTATCACTCAGTGGATTTCTATCAAATACACCAGATGTTCTGCTATCCTCACACACTCCGGCCTTTCAGCCTGAGCTTGCATTTTCCTGCTTCTTCCTTAATTCTGAGTTAACCAAATGTTCCACTGCACTAACTTTGGCTTTTGTACAGGGGGTGCAGTCTGTTACAGTATGTATAACCTCAGTAAGTATCTGGGTGCTTTACATAGTACAGTCATGACTGAAGGACAAACAGTCATAATAATGAATTGCACAGCCTGACATGCTCAAAATGTTAAACACTGAGATAAATGTGATTATGAGGCAAAGGTAAGGTTTATAGTGAGGCTGGACTCTGAGGAAGGAGAGAAGGACTTGTAGAGGCAGAGAGACCGAGCTGAAAAGGATGTGCAGCAGGTGAGAGTGACTCCCTCCCATGTGAAGGAGTTACTAACTATCCTCGACCAGCTTATAAAAGATGTGAGAACATCTTATTTTGCTGATTTGATTAACGACAAACACAATCCAAGGTTATTGTTTGACGCCATCAGCAGACTCATCAGTCTGCTGTTCACGTCCTGTTCTTTGACTTTAAACCGGTTTCCTCGACAGATCTTCTCAATATAGTCTCACACATGGACGCTGTCATCCTGCCCAGCGGTCATTATCCCTCCTAAATTCATCAAAGGCGTTATGCCTCATCTCCCTCAGATTCTTTCTATTATGAATCAATCCTTTTTATCTGGCCGCCTTCCAGATTACAGCTAGCATCTTTGCTCTGCTGTAAAACCCTACTTAGATCCCACTGTTTCAGATACTCACAGGACAATTTCCAAACTCACATTTATTTCTGAAATCCTTGAGAAAGTCTGTCAGGTCGTTTATCGTTTAAATTCCAGTCCGGTTAGAGATAAACCCACAGCACTGAACCAGCTTTATTGACTAAGGATATTCTAATACAATCAGATAAAGGTGAGCTTTCTATTTTAGTCCCACTCGATTTATCTGGTCCCCTGCTGATCCCAGTAGGCGCCCCCATTCCCTGGGCCTGGACCCCCACCAAGGGCAGGGGGTCCAGGCCCATCCAGACCGGGACCCACAGCAGTAGCACCACCAAGCCCCACAGAGCCCGGGGCTCTACTTCCACCCCATCATCCAATTATCTTCCGGACTACATAAGACAATAGACACCTAGGTTGAGTTCATTCTCCACCTCTCCTATATCTCTCCCTCACCTGCAGAGTGAACTCCTGAAGAACAGAGACCTGCAAGGATGTAACAACCTCCCCGCCATTTGAAGGGACCCTCGGTTCTGCAAATGCACCAGAGGCCCCCCATGCCAGGGCTGGGCCCCCATGCACACACCCATCCACAACCTCGGTGACACACCACCATCAGGACCCAAGCCCCTGAGGCCCAGCCAGAGCCCCAGCCCAGACGAGGAGCACCCCCGCATCCCCAAGCCCCCAAACCTGGTTGCCACCCAGTGGCAACCAGACTACCAGTCCAGTAACCCACGTCCGCCAGCACAGACTCTCCCCAAGCTCTGCTGCAGTGTAAGTTCTCATCACTCGTATGTAGAGTCCCCCAGGGCTCAGTCCCTGGACCAGTTCTGTTTTCTTTACATACGTTACCCCTGGGTCACCTGTCTAATGGTTTTAATGGAATCTCCTACCACAGCTATACAGATGACACACAGCTATACTTTTCTGTAAAGCCTAGCAACCTCAACAGCGTCTCCTGACTCAACAAATGCTTCTTTGCCATTACTGAGTGTATATATTCAAATTTCCTCCATCTCAGTTCCAGTAAAACTGAGGTTCTAGTGCTCGGCCCAGACAGTTTCTCTAAGGAGGTTAGCCATTGCTTTGCCCCCTTGCCAATAACTTGAAATCATATGCTAAAAACTTTGGCATCATCTTTGACTAACTTTTACTATCACACCTCAGAGCTCATCCAGTCTTTTTTCCTTCACCTCAGAAATATTGAAAAAATTGAACCTTTACTGTCATTCAATCATCTGGAACCTGTAGTTCACACTTTTCTCTCACCTTGATCATTTTTGACTGAAAATATCTGTAGAAGCTGGTGAAGGCATGCCTTCAACAGCATATTTCAGAATTCATGTTGCACAATTCATATTAATTTAAAATCTACTTTAAAATTCTGTTACCAACATATAAATGTCAACACGGACTCGCCCCTGCTTATCCAGCAGTCTCTGAAACCTTGTCACGGCAGCTGGCCTCTGACCCTCTAACCAGGGTCTCTTAACTGATTTTAAAACCAGAGAAGATTGTGCTTTTGAGGTTTTTGCAATCAGGATCACTGTTTTTCATTTTCTTTATACGACTGCTAAAAACTCATTTTTATAGGTTAGCTGTGCCTTAATCTTTTCCACTTAATTTTCACCCATAGTTTGCAACCCTGCATGAATGCATGTGTGTATGTTGAAATATGTATATTTATCTTTAATGTGTGGCATTTACTGAAACTGTGAAGCACTCTGCAACTCTGTGTTTTGAAAAGTGCTACACAAATGCAACAGTTAACAGACTGGTGTAGAGTCAACTGTCTTTGAACGTGGACAAAACAAAAGAGATGATCGTCGACTTCAAGAGAGCACGGAGAGATCACTGTCCACTGAACATCGATGGATCCTCTGTGGAGGTCGTCAAGAGCACCAAATTCCTTGGCGTTCACCTGGTGGAAAACCTCTCCTGGTCCCTCAACACCAGCTCCATAACTAAAAAAGCCCAGCAGCATCTCTAATTCCTGCAGAAACTGAGAAAAGCCCATCTCGCACCATCCATTCTCACCACTTTCTACAGAGGGACTATCAAGAGCATCCTGAGCAGCTGCATCACTGTTTGGTACGGTAACTGCACCGTATTGGATTGCAATATCCTACAATGGATCGTGAGAACAGCTGAGAAGATCATTGGAGCCTCTCTTCCCTCCATCACAGACACCTATCGCACCCACTGCATCAGCAAAACCATCAGCATTGTGGAGGAACCTACACACCCCTCACACACACTCTTCACCCTGCTGCCTTCTGGCAAGAGGTACCAGAGCATTCGGGCCTTCACTGCCAGACTTTGAAACAGTTTCTTCCCCCAAGCCGTCAGACTCCTGAACACTCAGTGACTGGACTGACACACACAGGTATACCTTCATACATCAAGTTACTTTTGCAAAATGCTCAGTCATTTTGCACAACCCACTGTCATTGTTTTGCTTTTCTACTGCACTGTCTTGTGTCTGTATTGCTGTGCTTTGTCTGGTGTTGCACTGTTTTTGTTTTATTCTTTTATTCTTTTGCAATTGTTCTGCAATTTTTGCACACTTGCACTGTATGTAGTCCTGTCTTTATTGTCTGTTATATTTAGCACCAAAGTCTTGGAGGAACACTGTCTCGCTTCACTGTGTACTGTACCACTGTACATGGTTGGAATGACAATAAAGCCACTTGATTTGACTTGAAGGAGGTTGGTCCAGACGACACTTGTGCAGGTATGGGGAGGTCTGGGAGAGAGGGTGGTGGACTTTTTAATAGTCTGTTTAAAAAGTACAGCACAATGCTGGAAATTGAGCGGATGATGGAAATGAAGAAGACGTGTACCAGTTCTGAGTTTCGAGAACATGGTGATGTGCAGAGCTGAAGGAAGTACAGCGTGATGAAAACACGGGAACCAGGTGTGTAAAAGTTAGGTTAAGCAGAGGTGAAGAAGAGAGTGCAGGCTAGGTGGAGATGGGGGTCGGGTTTGATGTGTGATGAAGACGCGTTGGAAGTGAAAAACACACTGGGCTTAGAGTGCGGGTGTTTTATTTTAAGTCATTTTAAACTAACAGGAAACTGCTGTCATGTGTGCTTTTATCGTAGCAGCCGAGAGCGGAAGCGGCGAGCTGGCTTTGGCACGCTTGACGGGCGGCGGATTGCGATTGGCTGCCTTGTCTCCGTGCCTCCTGCTGTTGTTCTGATCAGATCAAGATGGCTGCTGTTGTCGGGGATGGAGAGTGAGCTCAGGCTGACATCCGAACACAGGCCGAGGACACGCGCACCGACCCGCTGATCTACGGGAGCCAAACCCCGGACCGCCCGAACTCACTCTGATTCTCCGCTGAAGGTAGAGGGGTCCGCTCCCGTCGCTCTCTCTGCAGCATCCTCCCTGCCATCGATCGCTGTTTGATTGACACGTCGCCGGATCGGTCAGAAAAATCAGATTAGGGTGATTCGGTTTGATTTCCGCCCCCGTATCGACGGTAAAACATAAAATCTGAGTGCTACCGGTGTAATATGGGGCTTTTTGCTGGTTGGTTCGGGGGTGGTGGGAGGGGTGGGGGCTCCGGGAGGTGAATGGGTGAAGGTTATCCCGGTTACCGCGGGAGATAACGGCGCTGTTAAGGCGACATGGCGGCGGTGTTTCACCGGTAATGAGTTCGAGAGTCCGCTGCCCTCACCGGGACCAGCCGCGCCGGTCAGATACACCACTGCACGGAAACATGGCGGTTTCTTCATTTACAGTGTGGTTGTTATTATTAACACTGGACCCGAGAGAGTCAACATAATAACATAAATCATTAAATGACGTCATCAGGTACCTGCTTATTCAGCTTACAATAAAACCTGATCAATCAATATGACTACAGACAAAAAAAACTCCGCAGTTAATCGATCATTATTATTGTGACTGGATTAAAATTGTCTGATTTATCTACATGTATTTATTTATCTATTATTTATTTGTTGCTGGTCCTGAGCTGTAAACAGGGGGATTATCGAAGACGTCACTGTTAGCACAT